CTAAAATTCCATATGACACTCTTTAAGACTCTAATGCTGACGTTCTATTAATTGTACAGTTCTCATCTTGGGTTTCCATCAGCATTTTAAATTCTAAGCTTTTGTTGTTGTTGTTTTTCTGCTTTATTTTAAAGGTCTCTGTGTTGCTAAACCATTGGAGGTCTTTATCTGGAAACCATTCTTTATTGACCTCAAACTGCCCTACTCAGCTGTTCAAGGAGAGCAGCTTGAAATCAAGGCAATTCTCCATAACTACAAGGATAATCCCATATCTGTGAGTTTTTAGGGGTTTTTTCTCATTAAATATATATGCTTTTACATAGCATATGATGGAATTTACCTTTAAAGGACAAAAATGTATTTTTTCAGTTATTCAATAAGCCAATTAGAAACCACCCTCCTCTGAAATTTTTTGCATTCTTTTTTTGTTTTTCTTTCTCTGCCCTTTGCTTTTACTCTATCTCACTCTGCATTAAAGGTACGCATTGAGTTTAAAGAGGAGACCAGTATTTGCAGCGTGGCTTACAAAAGAGAGTGGTTTAGACAGGAAGTCCGAGTTGGGAGACAAACTACAAGATCTGTACCATATGTCATTATTCCCATGGCACACGGATATTTTCCAATTGAGATCAAAGCATCTGTTAAAAACTCTTTCCTCTCAGATGGAATCAGAAAGACATTGCGTGTGGTGGTAAGTGAATAAATGCAATTATTTACCACATTTTGTTATTGTGCTACAACATAGTATCTGCAAAATGATAGTTGTTTGATCGCTGAAAAGTACAAGATTTGTTCTCTTTGAAACACATTTTTTTCATATTTTTTTGACTCATTAAAAATATAAGATTTTTTCCAAGATCTAAGATAGTTCCAAAGTTTTTGCAGAACTTTGCTAGCTTTAGCAACAGTTCACCTTAGTTAATCCACTTAAACATCCATCCATCCATCTTCTTCCACTTATCCATCTGAGTCAACAGGTAGAAAACCAACTTATTTTTGTCAATAAAAACAATTTGTTTATAAAAATTATTGTTTATTGGTGAGGGGTGTTGGTAAGCAACCACCTACATTTCCCCAATTGTAAATAGCCAAAATAACACAGGGATTTCATGTCAAAGCAGATGTTGGTAAACAGAGTAAATCAGCATTTTTAATGAGGTTTGTCCTGGTTGAGCCTTAGAAATTCAGTTGAATGCTCTTTTTAGTAGAACAGGAGTGTCAGAATACAAACCATGATAAGATTTAAAGGGTTGTCTGAGGTCTTTAGAGAACAAAATGTTGTTGCAGCTTCATGGGCACAAAGTCCAATCACATACTGGACTGTTGTGCTTGACTGTTGTACTTTATCTTGTTGAAAATGTTCAACAAGATCAAGTAAAATTTCATAAAATTTCATTTTTGTGTCCCTAGATAAGAATTTTTGTATGTAAAATTGATTTTTACTTAAAAAAAAATATTGCAATAATCAAATAATTGTCCAAGCAAGTTTACCCAAAAGCAGAGTACATGATGATAAAATAGGTCTCCAAACTCTTTGGAAAAAATCACAGACTCTTAATAGTTTTTCATTTCTGAAGATATAAAAAAAAATGAAAATC